AGGTCTCGAGCCCTTTTGGGGACCAGGGAGCCTCCAGGCGGGGGCGGGCGGTGGCTCATGGGGGTGATGAGCTTGGCAGACCTCAGAGGGGGGGTGGGAAGTGGCTCCGGGCATCCTGCCCCACATCCCGCTGCCCTATTCAGTGATGCCCGGGAAACCAGTGCTAATTGGCATCGGAGCTGGAACGAAGCCTGGATGTGACCGCAGCTTCGTTTTAGAGCCTGGGAAGAGAAGAAAAAAAGGGGGGGAGCTCCTTTGGGGTGGGGGTCCAGCTTCGAAAAATGCCCCCTTAAAAGAAAATCCCAACTTAATGGATGTCCAGAGCCCTAAATCTCATTGGATTGTCCGCAGAGAGGACAGCAAACCTTATTTGGGCTCGATGGGGTGATGCCCCCAACCTCGAGTGTGCCCCCGGAACCGGGAAAACATGGAACTGGGGGTCCGTAACAGGGGGAAAATTGCAAATCTGAGTGTTTTTTCCTCAAATAAATGTCAGCTCGAGGCCGCTGGGGAGGCGAAAGCCACCAGGACACAGGGCTCTATTGAGAAAGGCAAGAACAAAAAAAAAAAAAAAAAAAAGAGAGAGAAGGGAAAAAAATAAATTAGCCGGGCGAAGCGCCAAGCCGGGAGCTCCGAGGGACGTGCCCGGAGTGGGGAAGCGGAGCGATTCGGGGGGCGAGCCTGCCCGAAATGTGGGGAGCGCCGGCCGCCCCGCGGGGCCACCCCGCTCCCCCCTGCTTGCTGCCGGTGACCTGGCTTCTGGCGCTGCACGCAGGTAGGGAGACGTCCCGTTTTTCCATGCTTTTCCCATTTTTTCCATGGGGTTTGGGGGTATCCAGACGGAGGTTGGGGGCCGGAGGGTGATGATACTGATACCCGATGGGGGGTGGGAGGGTGCTGAGGTGGTTTGCTGTGCTGTCGAATGTACCCTCTGCTTGGGAGGCAGGAAAAAGGGGGTGAAATTGGGAATAAAACTGGGGAAAACACTTTCGGGAGCCAAGCGGGTCCTGATGGGGGGGTGAATTTGGCACCGCCCCCACCCCGAGCTTCTCCCCAGCTTTTTGTCTTCCCCAAGCCCCCTTTTTTCCTCATTTTTCAACATTTCCAAATCTATTTTCTTATCCATTCTTCTTTCCTAAAAATCTCATTTTTCACCCCATTTCTAGGTTTGCCCCTTCCCGTTACAACTCAGGTTTCCTCCATCACTTATTCCCTAAATCCTCACATTTTGGGGTTCAATGAACCCTAAACCACCCCATCCCACCCCATCCGGGTGGGCAACAAAGAAAATCACCTGCAACAATTTTGCCCCATTTTACTGAAGTTTGGACCCAAAAGCAGCCCTGGGGAGGCCCCATTTCCCCCCGGATGAGGACGATGGATGCAAAGCAAAACCAGCTGGGTTCATTGCTGGCTTTGATTTAGACCCTAAAAAAGCACCAGGGCTGCAGCCAGGGCACCCCAAAAATGCTGTGGTGCTTTTTGCAAAGAAATAGGATTTATTGCATGAAAGAGCTGGCAAATGAGGATTTTTGGTGGGTTCTTTTCAACAGAAGCCATCGATACAGTCTGGGAGATCTGCATCCCTAAGCCAAGGGATACCGTAGGAAATGGGAATGTTGCCTGATTTATTAATTAACTCCCGAATTTATTACCCAGAGTGGAGAAAAAATTAGGAATTGGGTTAAAATAGGGAAGAAACAGTTAAAGAGCAGTGATTTGGAGGTGTGCAGGGGGCAAGAATGCACTAAAGGCCACATCCCCATCCCGTGCCTGGGTTTTCCCTATGGAGGATGCCCTAAATTCAGCGAGTCAGGGCATGTTTGCAGGGCAAGTGCGGCGCTCCCGAGGAGGACGGACGCACGGACGCTGCATACCAATAGGTCCCATGACTTTTCGGGCTTGTTTAAGGCCTTTCTTGCTCCTGCTTCGCCCTCCCCAGCTGGTTTTCCCACTCTCCCCTCCTCTTCAATATGGGGTTTGTTCGCCGTCGGATGACGGCATCTGGACGGGGGGTTCATGGATGGGACCCCTGGGATGGCAAGAGAGGGATGGAGCTAAGGTATTTCGGGGAGAGAGGATGTTTTGGGGAGGCCCCTCCCCCAAAAAAACATGTTTTTCCACTTTTTCTCTGCTTTTTTTTTGGCTTAAAACCAGCGATGAGGAGCGATGCACGTGCACTGACGCCCGTGATGCAGTTTTGCATCTGAGGGGGGCTTTGTCTGGACAGTAGCATTCAATGGGGGTGACAGTGGGATGCAAAATCCTCCCCCCATCATTTCTGGGGGGATTAAGGCACCTTTGCAAAGCACAGCACTGATCTGGGCACTGGGGGCTCTCACCCCCCATGCAGTTTTTGGGGGGGTGATGATGAATCTTTGCCAAGGGTTGCATCGAGCCGCCTCCCAACCCCCTGCATTTTTTTGAGTGATGTGTGCATATTTGCTAAGGGTTGCATCCACCTGACTGCAGGAGCACTCCCCCCTGCATTTTTGGGGTGATACAGGAATTTTTGCAGAGGGTTGGTCGCATTGACCCGACTGCAGGACCACTCCCACCCCCGATGAAGTTTTGGTGGCCATAATGCATCTTTGCAGGGGGTCGCACTGCCCCACCTCCCATGCCCAAAGCAATGTTGATCGGGGTTCAGGAAGGCTCCCACCCCCCGTGCACTTCGGGGGGTGACGTGTACACCTTCGCAAAGGTCACAGAAACAGGCTGGGCATTTTGGGGATGCTCTGGAAGGGAGTTCCCTAGTTTTCCCCGTGCTCAGCACCTCCCAAGGTGTGTCTCTCCACCCCAAGGTCTGCTGGCAGGAGTGAACATCACCAGCCCCACGCCGCTGGTCCGTGGCACGGCGGGCAAGGCGGCGCTGCTGTCGGTGCGCTACGCCAGCGCCAGCGCCGACAAGCCGGTGGTCAAGTGGCAGCTGAAGAGGGACAAACCCGTCACCGTCGTCCAGTCCATCGGCACCGAGATCATCGGCAACCTACGGCCCGACTACCGCGACCGCATCCGGGTGCTGGAGAACGGCTCGCTGCTCATCAGCCCCCTGCAGCTGGCTGATGAAGGCGCTTACGAGGTGGAGGTGTCCATCACCGATGACACCTTCACCGGCGAGAAGACCATCAACCTCACCGTGGACAGTAAGGGCAAGAAGGACATCCCATGGAGATTCGGTTCTCCACAGGATGTCTTCCCTGACCACTTTTGGGGGGGGGTTCTCCAACTGGGGGGTGGTTTTGGGGGTTTCAACCACCCCGCACAGCCAAGTTACATCCCTGGTGGGGTTTTGGTGTCTCCTTTCCTGTCTCCTGGGCCCAACTGTCCCCCGAGACATGGCGTCACCACGGTTCCCCTGCTCATCCACAGTTCCCATCTCGAAGCCACAAGTGCTGGTGGCCTCCTCAACGGTGCTGGAGCTCAGCGAGTTCTTCACCCTCAACTGCTCGCACGAGAATGGCACCAAACCCACCTACACCTGGCTGAAGGACGGGCGGCCGCTGAGCAACGACTCCCGCCTGCTCCTCTCCCCCGACCAGAAGATCCTCACCATCACCCGCGTCCTCATGGCTGACGACGACGTCTACAGTTGCCTGGTGGAGAACCCCATCAGCCATGGCCGCAGTGTCCCTGTGAAACTCACGGTCTACCGTAAGCCACTGTTCCCCCCTCTTGCACGGCCAGGGTTATTCATCCCTTGCAGATGCTTCCAGCTAAAATGTTGGGGGGCTTTTCCCCCCTCATTCCTCTCCCCCAGGCCGGAGCTCTCTCTACATCATCCTGTCCACAGGAGGCATCTTCCTTCTCGTCACCCTGGTGACAGTTTGTGCCTGCTGGAAACCCTCCAAGAAGTACGACTGGGGGTAACACGGGAGCCAAAGGGGGTCACCCTGTCTCGTCCCATCCTGTTTCGTCCCGTCTCATCTCTTCCCATCCTATCTTGTCTTGTCCCACCACATCATACCTCATCCCATCCTGCCTTGACCCATATGTCCTGTCCCATCCCATCCTATCTCGACCCACCCCATCCCATCTCGACCCCTCTCATCCCATCCTGTCGTGACTTATCTGTCCTGTCCCACACCATCCCATCCTGTGCCATCCCACCTTGATGCATCTCTCCTGCTGTGTTCTATTCTATTTCATCTGATCATACCTCACTCCATCTCATCTTGTTCCATTCCATCCCACCCCATTCTACCTCCTTCCATTCCACCCCATCCCATCTCTCCCTCCCAACAGCGATGGGCCCTTCCCTGGCTGAGCCGCAGGCAGCCCCCCCACTGCCCCCACCGCGATGCCGGTGCTGCCCCATCCCCTCTCCCTTCCCAGGGAGAAGCGACAAGCGGAGACACAACCGGCCTCCGACTACACCGAGCAGGATGAGGAGCGCCTGAAGCATGAGGGTGAGTGCTGGCCTTGGCATGGTGGTGGCGGGTTGGGGGAACACCAATGCTGCTGGCACTGTGAGCAGCACCTTGCTTCCCTGCAGCCGAGGGCATCCCACGGAGCGGCGACCACGAGCGCAAAAACCCAGTGGCCTTGTACATCCTCAAGGATAAGGTGAGCAGGCGGTAGCGCCAGTAGCATGCCGGTACAGGGTCTCACACACTTCCCACGCTCATTTACTGTGGGCTTTTGGCAGGACTCACCAGAGGCAGAGGAGGATTCACCACCCGAACCCCGCGGCACAGTTGAACCGGGTTACACCAGCTCGCCGGTACCAGCGGCCGGTCGCTCGCCGGGGCCGGTGGGGCGCTCGACTCGTCGTTACCATCGCTCCCCAGCCCGCTCGCCCGCCTCCACGCGGACCCACAGGTCACCGCCGGGTTCGCCAGCGCGCTCCCGCGGCGCTCCGCGGCTGCTGCGGACTGCGGGCGTCCATGTCATCCGGGAGCAGGAGGAGGCCAACGCCGTGGAGATCAGCGCCTGAGCAGGGGGGACTGTGCGCGCTTCGGCGGCGGCGTGCGACAAGCGGGGACACTGGCACAGCCCCGCTTCCGCCACCGGGCATCATTCCACTCGGCGTAAAGTCACTAATTTCCTATTGATCCCACCTGGAGCTCCCCTCTTCCGTCCCCCGTTTTCCTGGGGCGTCGCTTTAATGGCTTTCTCGCCGGGATGAGTGTGCAGGGAGCGTGCAGGAAGCACACGCGTGTGCAGAGAGAACATGCGAGCAGTGCACAGAGAGAGCATGAGGGAGGGTGTGCACGGAGCGTGCAGAGAGAGCGTGCAGGCAGAGCACGGAGAGAGCGTGCATGGAGCGTGCAGGAGAGCACAGAGAGTGCACACAGGGGCTGCACGGGGGCAGGCATGAGGGTGGGCAGCGAGTGTGCACGCAGTGTGCGGGGAGAGGATGCCCAGAGTGTGCAAGAGAGCGTGTGGAGCACATGCAGAGAGCACACACAGAGCACACAGCTAGACTGCACGGAGTGTGAGCGGAGCGTGCACGGGGTGTGCAGGTAAGACCATGCACGGCATTTCCAGGCATGCCAACACTGGGGGTGTTCTCCGAGCGCGCACAGAGCACGCAGAGACCATGAGTGTGCAGAGAGAGTCCGTGCAGAGTGCACATGGAGCACATGGAGAGAGCATGCACACAGGATTTGCATGGAGAATGCGGCGAGTGTGCAAAGAGCGTGAGGAGAGAGGGTGTGTGCAGCACTCGCACAGAGCAGCCACCGAGTGTGCTTGGCACGCGGGGAAAGGTGTTTGTGCACGACGTGTGCAGCTGAGTGTGCTCAGAGCGTGCAGGAGCACACAGGGGAGCACACGCACGGCACACCCAGAGACCCAGTGCACACGCGTGTCACCTGCCGTGGCACACCCCCCCCAAGCGTGGAGCAGGGCATGCACTGGCACACAACCTCGCCCAAGCGCACACATGCACAGAGGTAGCCTAAATAGGGGATCCCTCCTGCCCCCCCAGCTCCCTGGATGCACCGTCCCCCAAATGTGGGCTGGAAGCCCTGGCCCGAGCGCTGCCCCTCCACTGCACCGGCGTTTTCTGTGAAAATACCCCGGTTTTGGGGCACACGCTGTCGCCTTCCCCCCCAGGCCTTCCCAGGAAATAGGTTTAGGATGAAAAGCAGAGAGCGGCCGGCCAAGCGAGCTGGGCCCTGGGGCACCCGGGGTGGGTGCCGGGGCACCCTGGAGTGCTCAGGGTGCACTACTAACCAATAAACTAAACATACTACCCGGCCAGTGGCGGCACCCTTGGGTATCTTTGTGGAACAGGGACCCTCCCCAGGGTGGGGGGGACACATGAGAGGTGGGTGACAGCTGAGACCACACGAGCCCGATGCACCTGGCTGGCACTCGAGTTTCAGCTTGAAGAGCCTGGGAGACCCTGGCCTATTCACTCTGGTCCCTACCGATGGTGTCCTCACCTGAGAGCTCATTTCTTCTAAATTTGTCTTCCTCTGAACATGGCAGAGGATGGGGGGAGTTTATGGTGACTAATTAAATTCATTAACTGCTGGTGTCCCCAGCCCCACTGTCTGCAGATGCTGCCAGTACCACTGTGCCCAGGCGCCCCCACTGCCACAGCATGACTGAGCTGTTTTTGTTCACCACAACCAGCCCTCCTTCTCCCCTCGGCATTTCCCGGCCCCCACATCCGGCTATTGTATCCCCCCCATCCGGAGGCAGATCCGGCCCCGGTGCTGACAGGGAGGGACTGGGATTTTGGGAGGAAGCGGGAAGGCTGGCTGGGGCTGGTATGGCGGGCGGCTGGGCGACGGTGCTGGGCCTGGGGCTCTGCCTCACCGCTCTGCACCGTGGAGGTGAGTTCAGCCCATGGGGGGGCAAAACCCCCTTAACTCTGCCCCCTGCCCACCCTGGGGCTGAGATTGTGCCCGCCTGGGGCATCCACCAGCATCCGACCGCCTCCTTGTCACCCCACAGGCTGCCACCCCCCCAGCGCAGCCACAGCACCACAAATTCTGGCTGGTAAGGACACCCAGTGGGGGTGATGTGGGTGGGAGGACCCCAAGAAAATCCTGTCCCCCCCACCCACGGTGTGCCCTCCCCACGGCAGTGCTGCGGGACAATTTCCGCCTGCAGCCGGGCGATCTGGTGACCACGGCGGGGCAAGCGTTGGAGCTGGACTGCGTCCCCCCCTCGGGGCACCCCGAACCCCGCGTCACCTGGAAGAAGGACGGGGTGACCTTGGACTTGGTGGGTGACAGGTATGTGGTCACCAATGGGAAGTTGAGGGTGGCACCGGCGCAAAGGAGCGACTCCGGGCTCTACATCTGCGTGGCGGCCAACGCGGCGGGCAAGAGGGAGAGCCGGGGCGCCCGCGTCTCCGTCCTGGGTAAGCCAAGGGTCTCCCATGGGTGGTGGGCACATCGCACCCGGCCGTGGTGCCACATCCTCGATGTCACCCTGCAGAGAAGCCGACCATTGTGCGGCACCCCAGCGACACCGTGGCAGTGGCCGGCAGCACCGTGGAGCTGGGCTGCGGTGCCCAGGGTGACCCAGCACCACGGGTGCAGTGGCACAAGGAGCGTGGGGACCTACCCTGGGGCAGGTACGTGGTGGTAGGGGGAAGGTGTTCAGTCCCTGGGGTGGGGATGGAGCTGACGGAGAGCTGGTGACCCGCAGGCACGAGGTGGACCGGGAGCACACTCTGCGCCTCTACGCCGTGACAGCCGCCGATGCCGGCACCTACGTGTGCACAGCACAGAGCCAGCTGGGCACCGCCGCCGCCACCGCCCTCCTCCACGTGGAGGGTCAGTGGTGGGACTTCACAGGCACCCAGGGCCATCTGGGGGGCCATCTAATGGGGTTCGTCCAAGGGGGTCATTCGAGGGGAGTCCACCAAAAAAGGGTCTATCCAGCTGAGGGGATCCATTCAAAGGGAGCACTTCCAAAGGTGGGTCCACCTAAAAGCATCCATCCAACAGGATCCGTCTAAGGGGTCCATCCAAACAGATCCGTGTAAGGGAATCCACCTAAGGGGATGCATCGAGGTGGGAGTCCATCCAAGGGGATCTGTTCAAGACAGCCCACCTAAAGGGGATCCAGCCACACTGGCTCCTACGAGAGTATCCATTTTAGGGAGTCTGTCCAAGGTGGGGGTCCATTAAAGGGGGATGGGACAAGAGGTATCCATCCAAAGGGTCCATCTAAGAGGTACACATCAATAGGGGTGTGTCAGGGGGGCCCATCCCGTGTCCACAAAGGGAACATATCAAAGATCCATATCCGAGAGGTCCATACAAGATGTGTCCATCCAAGACAGACCCATCAAAAGGTATCTGTCCAAAGGGGTCCCCCCAAGGGGTACATCTGAGTGGAGGGAGACATGTAGGGAGACATCAGGTGCAGGTATCTGAGGTGGGTGTCTGGGCAGGTGCCAGGGGACCTCACTCCTGCCTGGAGCTGTCATTAGCCTTCCTCCCTCTGCCCCACAGATCGGCTGCCAACGGGCCGGCGGGACACTGCCCCACGGGACCTGCTGGCTGTGCGGCTGCACCTGGACAATGGCACGGCACTGCCCACCGCTGCTGTCCGGCTCCGCTGGAGGGTCAGTGTCATGCCAGAATGTCCCCAGTGGAGGGCAGGGATGGGACACGGGGATGAGGCTGGAGACACATCCCCATGTCCCACCATGACTCGGAACCCTTCCCATCCCCTTCAGATGCTGATGCCGGTGCCGGTGCCGGTGGGTTACATGGTGCTGTACCGCAGCCTGCTCCCGGCCACCACCCCTTGGGTCCAACACGACGCAGGCAGGGAGCTCAGCACCGTCATCCCTGCGCTCCGCAGGGGCTACAAGTATGAGTTCAAGGTCCGACCTTACACTGGAGGGACCCAGGGCTCGGACAGCAACAGCAGGCACCTCTGGATACCTGAGGAAGGTGCGCTGTATGTCCCCAGGGATGCCTGGGTGGAGGATAGGGAGGTTGGTTGGGGGTCCCAGGGGTCTCAGCACCCCTGTCCCGGCAGTGCCCAGTGCAGCACCCCAGCAAGTCACCGTGGGCCAGGCTGAGACGGGGAACGGCACCGTGGTCGTGAGCTGGGAGCCACCTCCTCCTGAGGCCCACAATGGCATCATCCGGGGCTACCAGGTTTGGGGTGACAGGGCGAGGGGGCAGGGCTGGGGGGGTTCTGACCAAAGAGGGTCCATCCAAGGGGTCCATCCAGGAGGGATCTCAACATGAGGGTTCATCCAAAGGGGCTAATCCAGGTGGAGGTCCATCCCAGGGCATCTCTCTAGTGCCATTCATCCAAAGGGGTCCAGCCTAGGGGAGTCATCCAAGGGGATCCACCCAAGGGGGGTCCATTAATGGGGGTCCATCCCAGGGGCATTTACCCAAGGGGATCCATCCTAGTGGCATGCAAGGGAGCCCATCCAAAGGGGTCCATCCAAGGGGGGTCCATCAAGGAGATTCATCCAAGGGAGCCCATCCAAGTGAGTCTATTCAAAGGGGATCCATCTATGGGAGTCCATCAAGGGACATTCATTTGAGGGGGTCCATCCAAAGCGGTCCATCCAAGGGGATCCATCCACAGGGGGATCTATTAAAGGGAGTCCATCAAGAGTAATCATCTAAGGGGACTCATCCTCTTGGTGCCTGCCAGGTCTGGTCAGTGGGCGAGGGCTGGCAGCGCCCCACCAACAGGACAGTGGACGGAGGCACCCGCCGCCTGGAAACCCTCCTCCCACACCCCAGCGCCGAATTCTGTGTCCAGGTGGCAGCTTTCAACGGTGCAGGGCTGGGGGTCCCCAGCAACACCACCTGTGGTGTCCTGGGTAGGGGACGGGGAGCAAGGCGGGGAGTGGGTGGGGGCCAAGTCTGTGACACGAGGCGACACCAGTGGGACCCTTGCAGGGCTGACAGCGGGGAGCAGCGGGGTGGTCCAGGCACTGCGGCAGCCTGCTGTCATCGCAGCCGCCGGCTCCATGCTCTGGTTGGCCTTACTCGCCCTCCTCCTCCTCATCTGCCAGCGCCGCGCCAGCCAGGATGCCGCAGCTCGCCGCAGGTGAGAGGCCATGGGGTGGGGGATCCCTGCTGTGGTGGGGTTGGGATGCCCTGACAGCATGTCTTGCCCTGCAGGCTGGTGGCCGGTGACTCGCCGTGGCTCGGTGGCCCCTGGAAACCCAGCTGTGCCCCCCGAAACCTCAGCAGCAGCAGCAGCCTCAGCAGCCGACTGCTGGGCAGTGACAGCAGGGACCCCCACCCCTCCAGTGAGCCCTGTGGGAGCTGGGACCCCCACCTAGTGCCATGGGACCCTCACCCCTCCAGTGAACCCCAGGGCTGGGACCTCCACCTCATCCCATGGGACCCCCACCCCTCCAATGAGCCCTGTGGGAGCTGGGACCCCCACCTAGTGCCATGGGACCCTCACCCCTGCAGTGAA